AAAATATTATATTATTTGTTTGTAGTTGTACTTTCACTAATGTCATTTGTGGACTCAAACACACGTGGATTGTGCCTGCAGTGGAGTGTTAAATTACAGTAAAGATAATAGGACTGTTTTGTTTTAATATAATGAAAACCTGTTTTATTTTTTGCTTTGTGACAAGGCAAAATTGATGTGTCCAAGCTGAACCAGATTTACAGCAGCCACCTAAATTCTCGAAAAAGCGACAGCACGCTAAGCGAACAAGAACTATGGGAAAGCTTGCAGAGTCTCTGGCAGGTAGTCCATTAAACTGCATTATTCACATACCATAAGAATTCTCTTAAGTATCCATATTTTAGTCATTTGAACAAGGGAGAGAAGAACAGGAATGAATATTCTTGGATCTCCACATGGTATGTGCTATAGCTTCTCTCATTGACTTGGATTCTTTGCAACAGCTTTGGAGAAATCATTATATTTCCCTAAAAACTCAGAACTCAGATAATGGTAGGCAGTTGTAATGAATAATGCTGTGCCCAATGAGCCGTTAATGCTTGCCTCTCTGGGATAAGTTGAAACGTGACTCATTTTTTAATAAAAGCACGACCAAAATAATCAAACAGATCCAGCTTTTCTGCATAGATCGAATATCAAATATTCAAAATATCTGTTTTATTCACTGCACCTGTTTCTAATATATTATAAGTGAGAAGACATGTTGAAGATTAACTGCCCTGTCTAATAAGCAAGCATCAGAACAGGATTAAATTAAACTAAACATTGAGCTTCTAATTTTTATGAGCTAGAATCCATATGCAAGTGGCAATATGTGCATTCCAATCGGTTGCATCCTTCTAAGGTGCTTGCATGTTGTTTCCCTATATCCTGTAAAATCATAAAAGTGGCTACAATCCTTTATAGAAGTTCCTATCCATTTTATTCTACTAAGATGTTCAACCTGTAATGCATAAAATTTGATCAGATGCTGTACCCAGAAATGTCCATGGAAATTAAGCATGTGAGTCAGTTACAACTTTGCTCATATGGTGACTTTATTCTCATCATTTCAATTTAATACTGTTGCTTTCTTTTTCCCAGAGGTTTTTATCTGCTTTAAAAGATTAAAAGATAGTGTTCTTACCCTAGCTTCAGAGAGCTGATGTCTCTTCTTAAGTAGTGTCTATAGCAAGGGTAGGCAACCTTGGCTCTTTTATGACTCGTGGACTTCAACTCCCAGAATTCCTGAGCCAGCATGGCTCAGCTTGGAAACCTCTCCCTGTCCCCTCAGCGTGGCTGGCTCAGGAATTCTGGGAGTTGAAGTCCACGAGTCATACAAGAGCCCAGGTTGCCTACCCCTGGTCTATAGCCTCTCCTTGTTTCTCTTTGAGTCTGTTGGGTCCCTACTGCTTTGTAGATTATTCACTTGCTTTGCTACTAGGTACGTATGTCTGATGTAAGTTAATGCATACATGACAACCATTTTTGTTTCTTCCTTTCTCTCCCTCTGCTCCCAGTCTATTCTTAATCTTCCAGATGGTTCCAGTTGTGTTTTGGAAGAGTCACAGTTCTTGCCAAGCGGTGGGGATTCTTTAAAATTGCTGCAGCTTCACGATGAAATTGAACGTATGGTAGGTAGGCCTATTCCTGACTTAATAGAAATTATTCTCAATCATCCCGTTAGTGAGATCTACAAACATGTCCTAAAAGCAGCTTTCCCAAGTGGCCACCTTTCTATAAGCAGTCATGGTGCAGCAAAAAGAAAACTGAATGGCCCTCCCAGTGAAGAACCCAATAATAAGTGGGTGGAGCTTAACCCCGAAAGCTTCCTGAAAACCGAAATGGCCACCATAGGTTTTATTGCAGTAAGTCGTGGAAACCACTTGGTGTCTATCAGTGAGCCTGTGAAGAACCAGATTGAAGCAGAACAGGCAGAAAAGAATGGAGAGTTGCAAAAGAGCAACATCGGTGTAAATATAACAGAAGGTTATCCTGCTGAAGAAAATTTGGGTGAAGCATACCTTGATGAAATTACCCCCAAACTAACGGTGCACATAAGATGGGCCTCGGACCTCGGCAAATGTGTTGATGCCTCTCCGCTGCTTGTCATCCCAATTCCTGACACATTGTCTGCTTTTGTTTATATTGGATCTCATTCCCAAGCGATTCAAGCGATTGACTTATATTCAGGCAAAGTGAAATGGACAAGGAACCTTGCAGACCGGGTTGAGTCCTCCGCGTGTATATCTAAGTGTGGAAACTTCATTGTGGTTGGTAAGTATTCCAAAGCCTTGGTAGTAAGTGTAAGTGGAAAAACCAAACAGTAATGTTTTGAAACATAAAATGCAATGAACAGTGTTGCAGGATCCAATCCTGATCGGACACCAGGACCAGAGATTTAGTCTTCTGAGCTTCCGGATTCATCCTGGAGCTCATCCTCAAGGGAACTTCTGCTTTGGGCTATTCTATGTGTGATATTTATAGTGTGCCCGTTATATGTGGCCTTTTAGGTGTTGATTGGGGTGTTGATGACCAACTATCAAGTCGTTGGCTGTTGTTTCCTTGTGCTGCCAAGCCCTTAGGACAGGGGTGTCAAATTGCCGGCCTGCGGGCCAGTTGCATCATGCAGAGGCCGCGCCCACCCCAGCTCCAGCAATGTGAAAAAAGTCACGATACATCGTGACACGTCACATGACGTGGCAAGTTTGACACCTTGTCAAACTTGCCACGTGCTCCAGCACAGACTTGCCACGTGCTCCAGCACAAGTCTGAAAGCTCGGAAGACTAAACCTCTGATCCCTGGTTGGATCCTGCAACATTATCCTGGGACACGTATATTTGCCTTCATTCATGAGTGAACAGTATTGTAGATTCAACAGTGATGACTTTATGAATTCACCTTAATTGTTTGAATGTTTGAAAACTGGTTTAATTTTGTCTGCTGCAAGTGAAATAAGTATAGGCAGGTACTCAATGTGAAAAATATTTTGAGATTAGACCCTCTCCTGCAGAGTCAGAAAAGCGTCAGCACCAGGGGGCTCCAGAGAAAGATCAGCATTGGCAAGATGGTGGACATAGTGTTACAATCCAAACTCTGATCCTTTGGCATATGCCTGCCTTGCCAATTTTCACCACAAGGCATGCAGACACTTTTTGTGATCAGAACTGTCTGTTTTGAACTTGAAAATATTTTTCGCATCTCTGATTAGAACACTTTTTCCAAATGCACCTGTTTTCTCTGGCTGTGATTTTACGCAGGTTGTTACAACGGAGTGGTATATGTTCTCCGAACCAGTAATGGGGAAGTCCACTGGGCATTTCATACGGAAGATGCTGTGAAAAGTTCTCCCGCTTTAGATCCTTCCACGGGATTAGTCTTTATTGGATCTCATGACCAGCATATATATGCTTTGGATATATATGTAAGTAAACGTGAATGTGAATGTCGAGAGCTAGTTTTGTCCAGTTTGGTTAAGGCAGGGGTCCCCAACCACCGGGCCACAGCCCATTACCGGGCCACAGCCCTTTCGGAACTGGGCTGCACAAGTGGCAGGCGAGTGCGCGCACAAAGCTCCATTTGTCCAAGCGGCGTGTCTGCGTGCCCTCCACTTGCACAAATGGAGTTGCGTGTGTGCGCTTACCCGCTGCTAAGGTGGAACCATCCTCTCTCCCCCCCCCTTCCCCCCACTGCTGCCACCGGTCCACAGAGCTAGTGGGATCCACTGGGTTAAGGGCACTGAGCTAGAAACCAAGGGACTGTGAGTTCTAGTCCTACCTTAGGCATGAAGCCACCTCAGTTTATTTCGGGTCTGTCACTCCCTCTCTCTCAATCCTAAGAAAAAGGTCATGGCACACCAGTTTGAAAATGTTGCCAAGAAAACTCTGCACATCTGTCAGGTAGTCAGCAGGAATGAAGACTGACTCAAAGGAACAAAATTAAAAACACACCTAGGAAGGTTGTTATTAATGGGAATTGTCCTCCAGCCTAGTATCCATTTCATATCGAATGCCAAATCAGAGCGCTTAGAACTGCAGCCTTAGATATTGATGTTTAAAATCTAATTCCACTTCCAGAATATATTGTCAACAGGAGCTATAGATCATAATCAGCTATTAACTTTGCTTTGGTTTTTATGGAATTATTAAAAAAAAATTAGGCACCACTTCTTGTTTTAAATCTCCCAAAATACAGTACTGACAACGCTAGCTGTTTAATTATTTAACCACGCCATTATTTTTTTTGCTTCTGCTGAGGAAAAAAAAACCCACGAAAGATCATACACATTTGCAGCCTGTGGTTCTTCATTCATTGTTTCCTCCATTGCCTACACCAGTGATGGCGAACCTTTTAGAGACTGAGTGCCCAAAAACCACCCCCTGCCCCCGCTCCGCCTCCCGTCCTGCCTGCTCCGCCCCTGCCCACCCCCTGACCTGCCTGCCCGCAGGACCACACACCGCCTCCATGGCCCGCCGCAGATCGCCATGGCAGCCCTGCAGCGCCATTGCAGCCACGCCCTCCGCCCACATCCCGCAGCATCATCTGCACGCTATGAGGCACGAGGGCGGAGTCCTGTCCCTGCTGCCTGGCTATGTCCTTGGCTGCGCTGCTCCATGCAGACTGCGCCCGGGAGCGACTCTCCTCCAGGGGCGGCTGCTGGTGAGGAGGGGGCCGCGGGGGGAGGCAGGGCTGGGGCGACAGCACGCGTGCCCACAGAGAGGGCTTTGAGTGCCGCCTCTGACACGCGTGCCATAGGTTCGCCACTACTGGCCTACACCAAGCAAGAGCTTGCTGCTTGTTATGCTACCTTTATTATGCATGCAAGCTATGCTGCAGCATTATTTTAAACAAAATATTTAAGGCACATCCTTGTGTATTTTGTGTTAGTTTATGATAGACAGCGGATCGTTCTTCTGGAGAGAAGCAATTTAAATACTGATGTAATAATAACTATTTGACTACTATAATGTGTAATAATCAAAATAATAACGTTGGAATGGATATAGATTTAGGAATTGCTACAGAGCGCAAGAAAACCAGTTTGGTGCCAGTATAGAAACCAGGAGACCAGCGAGTTCTGGTCCTGCCTTAGTCAAAAAGATTGAATGAGCTTGGATGGATGGCAAACTACTTCTGAAAAATCTTGCCAAGAAAACTGCAGGGATTTGTCCAGTCAGCCTCTGAATCATATATGATTGAATGAAAAAAAAAACACCAAAAACCCTGAGCATAAAAGATTCACCTAAAGAGAATATAGTATTTTGAAATGGATTGCTCTACAGTAAGACCCTGTATGTTAACCTTAAATTAAGGTGAGTCACAATACTGAAATGTAAATTTTGTTATTTTGACAGAAGAAGGAATGTGTTTGGAGGTTACACTGTGAATCTGGAGGCATATTTTCTTCTCCTCATCTAAATCTGTTGCCACATCACCTGTACGTTGGTACACTGGGAGGACTGCTGCTTGCTATTAATCCTGTACGTAACGTCCTAGTTCTGCATGCATGAAGTTCTAGATTCACTAAAGGCGTTAAAAACTCTAAATAAAGGGGCTACAGAGAAGGAGACTTTTGATAATGACATTACAGTTACTGAACATATACCCGTTTTTTTTCCGATGCCAGGTTTTCCAACTACCTTAGCATATATTAATTCAAAGTAATTATACGAATGGCACATGTTAAGGCAGTGGTGGCGAACCTATGGCACGCGTGCCAAAGGCGGCACTCAGAGCCCTCTCTGATGGCACACGCGCCACCACCACCACCAGCAGGCCGCCACTGCCGCCTGGAGCAGGAGCCCTGCCCAGCACAAAGGAGGCGAAGCAGTTGACTAGCGAGCTTGAGTAGAGGTGGTAGAGCAGAGGTCACCAACCATTGTCGATTGGTGGACTGGAAGAAAAGGGAGGGGGAAGCATTTTACATACATGCATGCGCGAACAGGGCCGCGAGCACGCACATGCTGCAAATGGGGCAGAGCTAGTGCCTGCGTGACACTAGCCCTGCCCCATTCTTGTGTGGTGCAGCGCCTTGTATCTGCACCTCACGGCGCGGTGGTGGCTGTTTTTGTGCCTTGCAGCACACTGGCCCATTTTTGCGCCCCTGTTTTTTGAGTGTCAGAGGCGGCACTCAGAGGCGCCTCCCTGCGCCCCCCCCCAGGGCACCACAATGTTGATGCGGCCCTGGCACTTTGCGATAAATAACTGGGTTTTGGGTTGCAGTTTGGGCACTCGGTCTCTAAAAGGTTTGCCATCACTGTGTTAAGGGATCAGAAGCTAATTATTTTACTGATCAGCTCTTTGTAAATTTAACTCTTGTGGAATCGTAACAAACTATGCAAAATGGTGTAGTACCGTGGTGGCGAACCTATGGCACGGGTGCCACAGGTGGCACGCAGAGCCCTCTCTGTGGGCACGTGCGCCATCGCCCCAGTCCTAGGCCTTCAGCTGGGTTTTATAAAATCTTTTCGCTTTAGTCCTCCGCCGCCATGTGGAAAACAAAAAGGTTCAATCAATCAATCAATTTCAGCTTCTCGCAGGAAAAAAAAAGATATTGCAAAGTTGGAATTGATTGATTGAAATTTTTAGTCCCACCCAGTCTGCCGTTATCACCGCAGCCACACCCACCCAATTGGCCACACCCAATCAATGGGCCACACCCACCCAGCACCCGACGATACATAAGTGGGTTTTGGGTTTCAGTTTGGGCACTCGGTCTCTAAAAGGTTCGCCATCACTGGTGTAGTATATACAGAGATGTACACAAGTAAAAATTAAGTGAGTGATTTTGCAGAGGTATTATACTGCAATAC